CAGGAAGGAAAAAACGGTTGAAAAGCCGAGTTTGGGGCAAAACTGAACATGAGACCCATTAGCAGCCCCCATTTCACTTGGGATCAGGCTGTAGAGGTGAGATGGGATACCCGGCTGGAGTAGACCCCAGGACACATCTCTGAGCCCGGTGTCGCTCTCCAGCCATTGAGTTAATACACAGTAAGTACCAGCCGGCTCTGTTCCAAGCGCCACATCCTCCACCAGGACGTGAAAGGCAGTGAGCACACTGCCCACGGCCCGCGTGGCAAAGCTGGTGAGCTGAGGCCCGATACGCAGCTGTCTCTGGTCACCAGGAGCATTTTGAACGTGGATATCCAAAAAGGGGATTTTCTGCCTGAGGAGTTGGCTGAAGCACAGGGAAAAATATTTCCCATTTGGGCTAGCCGAAAAAGGATTCTTGTTTGTCTGGGTTTTGGTGAAACAACCCCAAATGGGAGCCCTGCAGCTGTTGCTTCAAGCGCTGCGCCACGGCGGAGCACGTGGCCCTGCAAGGCCATCGCTGCAGGCTCAAGACCCACCTGCATGCATACTGCTGCTCATCCTTGGAGCAGCTCCTGCCCACAGCGAGCGCCCAGCATGGGAGCTGCGCCATGGACACCCAAGGCTCCACTGGACCCACGGCTCCACGGGACACCCACGGCTCCATGGGACATGCATGGCTCCATGGGACACCCAGCTGCTTGGGACACCCATGGCTCCATGGGACACGCATGGCTCCATGGGACACCCAGCTGCTTGGGACACCCATGGCTCCATGGGACACGCATGGCTCCATGGGACACCCAGCTGCTTGGGACACCCATGGCTCCATGGGACACGCATGGCTCCATGGGACACCCAGCTGCTTGGGACACCCATGGCTCCATGGGACACGCATGGCTCCATGGGACACCCAGCTGCTTGGGACACCCATGGCTCCATGGGACACGCATGGCTCCATGGGACACCCAGCTGCTTGGGACACCCATGGCTCCATGGGACACGCATGGCTCCATGGGACACCCAGCTGCTTGGGACACCCATGGCTCCATGGGACACGCATGGCTCCATGGGACACCCAGCTGCTTGGGACACCCATGGCTCACGGCTCCACAGGACATGCACGGCTCCGCGGGACACACAGCAAAGCCGCGGCCCAGGAGCCTGGTGGGGCTGGACCCACGGGCCCGGCTGGCCACGGTGAGGACGGTGCCAGTCCGCGGGGGCACGCCAG